TGTCAGAGAGTAAGTCTCCAGACATTTTCCTGGATGGAGGAGGGGCACTTGCAGCAGCATAGAGCTGAAGAGAGGATCTGGGGGTGTAGCTTCTTCTCAAGTAGCTTTCACCTTGTAGTGCTTATTTTAGCACTTTTCCTCCTATTGTGTATGTCAGGCCGGTTCTCAGTTTTTCCCCCTGCTGGTCTGGCATTTGACTTTTACTTAGGTCTAGTCACTGACTACCGGTCCATCTGCTTTTACCTTCCAAAGTTGTTGCCGTCTGCTTTTCTGCTTTACCAGATCTTGTTTGTTCACATCATGAAAACAATCCATTTATTGTAGTTTTAGTGAAATTTGTGAGGCAGCAAATTCTGCTAATTTGACTGGTTGAATATAGGGAATTGGAGGCTATACTGTCAGTAAAACCTGGAGCCCCCATGAGTGTGCTTGCCAGCCAAAGGACAGAGCACTTAAATCTAAGTTTAAGGTCTGCTCTCCAGACCTTGCTTGAGTCCCTGTGGTTGGCAGAACTGAAATCACTTTTGGGAACTGTAGCTGCAAGAGGTTTTGGGGTTCTTTTAGCTTTGCAAGAAGGCATTTGAGTTTGAGGGTGAAATGGATGTTGGGTGAACCAGTCTAGAACATGTTCGATCAGAACCCAAGGGTGATCAGTAGGAAGACTGTTCATTTTCCAGTAACACGTTATGTATATCTATTAAGTCCATCTGGTCTAGGTTTTCCTTTAATTCCACTATTTCCTTGTTGACTTTCTGTCTGAATGATCTATCCATTGATGTAAGTGGGGAGTTGAGGTTCCCTACTATTATTGTGTTGCTGTTAATTTCTCCCTTCAGGTCTGTTAATAGTTGCTTTCTGTACTTTGGGGCTCCTGTGTTAGGTGCATATATATTCATAAGTGTTACGTCGTCTTGGTGGAATGTCCCTTTTATCATTATATACTGTCCCTCTTTGTCTCTCATTGCCTTTTTTTTTTTTTTTGTTTTTTTTTTTTTTTTTTTTTTTAAAATAAAATACCTGCTTTGCTTTCTTTTTTTTTTTTTTTTTTTGGTGAGGAAAATTGGTCCTAAGCTAACATCTATTGCCAATCTTCTTTTTGCTTGAGGAAGATTGTTGCTGAGCTAACATCTCTGCCAGTCTTCCTCTACTTTGTATGTGGGATGTCACCACAGCATGGCTTAATGAGTGGTGTGTAGGTCCGTGCTCAGGATCCAAACCCATGAACCCCGGGCAGCTGAAGCGGAGTGTGCGAACTTAACTACTTTGCCTCTGGGCCAGCCCCAACACCTGCTTTCTTTTGTTTGCCATTTACTTGGAATATCGTCTTCCATCCGTTCACTGTGAGTCTGTGTTTGTCTTTAGAGCTGAGATGTGTTTCCTGGAGGCAGAATTTGTTGGGTCTTGTTTTTTATTCCATCCAGCCACTCTGTGTCTTTTTGATTGCAGAATTCAATCCATTTACATTTAGAGTGATTATTGATATATAAGGGCTTAATACTGCCATTTTATCTCTTGTTTTCTGGTTCTGTATTTCCCTTGTTTCTCATCTTGTGTATTTCTGACTGCCATTTCAATTTGGTGATTTTCTATGTTGGTTTTCTCAGTTTTCTCTTTATTTATAATTTGTGTCTCTGTTCTAATTTTTTGATCATTTCTTGTAGGGAGGAGTCTTGTGGCGATGAACTCCTTCAGCCGTTGTTTATCTGGGAAAATTTTTATTTCTCCATCATATCTGAAGGATAGTTTCGCTGGATAGAGTATTCTTGGCTGGAAGTTTTTGTCTTTCAGTATTTTGCATATATCATTCCACTCTCTCCTAGCCTGTAAGATTTCTGCTGAGAAATCCACTGAAAGCCTGATAGGGGTTCCATTGTAGGTTATTTTCTTCTGCTTTGCTGCCTTTAATATTTTTTCTTTGTCATTGACTTTTGCCAATTTTACTGCTATATGCCTTGAAGGTCTTCTTTTGTTGTTGTTGAGGAAGATTCGCCCTGAGCTAACATCTGTTGCCAATTTTCCTCTTCTTTTGCTTGAGGAAGTTTAGCCCTGAGCTAACATCTATGCCAGACTTCCTCTATTTTGTGTGTGGGTCACCACCACAGCATGGCTCATGAGTGGTGTAGGTCCGTGCTCAGGGTCTGAATCCATGGACCCAGGCCGCTGAAGTGGAGCACGCCAAACTCAACCACTAGGCCAGGGGGCTGGTCCCTGAGTCTTTTTGCATTGATAGAATTAGCAGTTCTGTTAACTTCATTTACTTGTAATTCCAGCTCCTTCCCCAGGTTTGGGAAGTTCTCAACTATTATTTCTTTGAACAAGTTCTCTCCTCCTTTCTACCTCTTTTCTCTCTCTGGAATACTTATAATCCTTATGTTGCATTTCCTGAGTAGGATATTTCTTGGACACTTGCTTCATTTCTTTTTAGTCTTAGTTCTCTCTCCTCCTCTACCTGAAGCATTTCTATATTTCTGTCCTCTAAATTACTAATTCTGTCCTCCATAATGTCAACTCTGTTTTTTAAGGATTCTAGATAGTTTTTTGTCTCATTCATTGTGTTTTTCAACTCCAGCATTTCTGTTTGGTTTTTTTTAAGAGTTTCGGTCTCATTTGTGAAGAATTCCGTCTTATTAATTTTATTCCTTGGTTCATTGAACTGTCTTTCTGTGTTTTCTTGTAACTCCTTGAATTTCTTTCTGGTAACTATTTTGAATTCTCTGTCATTTGTAAATTTCTGTGACTTAAGGCTTGGTCTTGAGACTTGTCATTTTCCTTCTGCTCTGGAGCATTAATATATTTCTTCATGGTGTTTGATGAAGTAACCCTTTTCTGGTGCATAGTGGTAGTATCTGGTTGCAGATTCCATCTGCCACCACTGAGGGGGGCAGGAGCTGTGTTTTCTGAACCCACATCTGATGGAAGTTGTACTCGTCTGTTGGAAGCTGTTCCAACAGGGCCCATCTGCATTTGCCTGCTGGCTCCTGCTGCTTCACACACACAGGTGTAGGCCCTCTGGCATGGATCTGCTGCCCTGGCTGACTGGCTAAGGTGGTGCGCCTGGTGAGAGGTGGGGAGGAGTGCTTTTTTTCCTGTGCGTGATCCTGCTCTGCACTCACTGGTGGCCTGCCTTGGCTGCTCAGCTTGGTGGGGCCGCCTCAGTGTGGAGCATTCCCGTGGTCTGGAAAGCAACTCCAAGAGCAAAAGCGTTCCGACTGAGGCTTGCCTGTCCCCCTGTCTCCTCTCAGAGTCACGCATCAGCCACTGCATGAGGTCCCACATCCTAGATTGCTGCTGCTGGGTGTGGGGAGGAGATCTGCTTACCTCCTTCCACTGCTTTCTGGGGATCCAGTACCCCCACCTTCAGACATATGGCTGCGTGGATCTCTCAGAAGTCCTGTTGTGCTATATGGATATCCTCTGTTGGTTAATGAATGTCCTTTTCCTTGTGTTTTAGTGGGGAGAGACTAAGGGAACAGCTCACTCCACCATGATGCTGACGTCACTCCCCAATAACACTTTAAAATTCATTTATGTACATGAATGCTAGACATTATTTCATTGTTTTGACTTATTTTATTTATTTTTTTTTTAAAGATTTTTTAATTTATTTTTTGCCCCCAAAGCCCCAGTAGATAGTTGTATGTCACAGCTGCACACCCTTCTAGTTGCTGTATGTGGGACTCGGCCTCAGGATGGACAGAGAAGTGGTGCCTCGATGTGCACCCGGGATCCGAACCCGGGCTGCCAGCATCGCAGCACGCGCACTTAACCACCAAGCCACAGGGCCGGCCCATGTTTTGACTTATTTTTAAACCTCTTTGTCAATGTGATTTTCAGTTTGTGAGGTAGTTTAAATATATATATATATTTTTTGTGAGGAAGATCAGCCCTGAGCTAACATCCATGCCAATCCTCCTCTTTTTTTTGCTTAGGAAGACTGGCTCTGGGCTAACATCGGTGCCCATCTTTGTCCACTTTATATGGGACGCCGCCACAACATGGCCTGACAAATGGTGCGTCGGTGTGTGCCTGGGATCTGAACCCGGGCCACCAGCAGTGGAGCGTGCACTTAACCGCTGCTCATGGGGCCGGCCCCAGTTTAAATATTTTTAATTTTTAAAATTGTGAAATATTTTAAATATTTAAACATACAGAAGTGCACAGTGAATAGTAATGCACTCACCACCCAATTTTATTAAATCTTCACATTTTATCATATTTGCAGCAAACCATCGTCTCCCTCCCCCAAAGTAATAAAACATTAGTGATAGAGCTAAAGTCTCTTCTCTCTCTCTCCTCAGAGATGCTTATTTGGATTTGGTGTTTAATCATTCCTGTGCATGTTTTCATACTATCATTTTATGTATCTATATGCATATATGTATAGCCATTAAAAATATGTTACTGTTTTGCTGGTTTTCACGGTTTATGTAAAGCTATCATACTAAACATTCTGCAGCTTGCATTTTGCTTAAAATGTTTTTGCTATTTCTAGTCTGATACATGAGTTCTAGTTCACTCATTTTAACTGCTGTAGAATATTCCACTGTACAAATAGGCCAAAATTTTATTAATCCATTTGCCTGTTGACAGACATTTAAGTCATTACATGTGCTTCAGGAAACATTTGTGTATATTTTTTGCCATTTTAATTAACCATGAATGTTACCATATAATAGTACACTCTTTCACGTTAATAAACTTTTTATTCTGATTTTGTAAAAATTATGTAGAACTTGTAATATAGAAGCAGTTTGGGAGGCATCCAGCCTGAAATGGAGAGAAACTTTAAAGGTGTGACCATCTGAACTTTGTGCAAAAGGCCTGGGCATTGTTGGGGTGGCTTTGGGAAACTATTTCATCTTCTCTTCTTACTCATCTCCTCAAAAGACAAGAAAAACATATTTGAAAGTATTTCCTGTGCCAGGAGTTTTATTAGGATGAATCTTTCTATGTTTGACAAGATATTTACTATCTGTTCATCTGTGTTCTTGCTGTTTCAGACAGAATATTGTTGCGGGATGTAAAAGCTCTTACCCTCCACTATGACCGCTATACCACCTCCCGAAGGCTGGATCCGATCCCACAGTTGAAATGCGTTGGAGGCACAGCTGGATGTGATTCTTACACCCCAAAAGTCATACAGTGTCAGAACAAAGGCTGGGATGGTTATGATGTACAGGTAATACATTATGTTGATGGCAGTCTAAATGGAATTTTTATTCAATAAAGTGTTTATGGGGTCAATCGTCAGTATTTTTTGGAAGCATATATATAAAATCTCGGGTTAACCTAAAATATATAAATATAAATTCTCTGGCAGAACATCCTCCAAAAGAAATGAACTGATTTAAAAGCCTAGAAATATTCACTGTAATTTTTGTACCATAAATTTCTTCCAAGAAGTTAGTAAATTATCATAACTTTTTATATACTTGGGGGTTGGGATAGAGGATCTCTTCTGGTTGTAATTTTCATGTCATTCCTCAAATAATACCAACCTACCCTTAAGAAATAAAGTTAAGATGGTCAGGAATCATAGATTGTAAATAGTGTGAGTACATGTATCCCTATTGTGCTTCAAACACTTGATTTTAAAATTGCTGTAGAACTGAGGGTGATGACTTCTGAATGAAAGCATTTCAGTGGGCTTTATTTGTTGTCTTTTGGACCCTGGCATTTTATACTTAGGGCAGAACGCTTCCTTGAAGTTTAATATGCTTTAGAAATGGAATAGAGTTTATTAAATAAATTCAGTTTAAATCACTATTAATATATTTCTACTTTGTATTCTGCCTGCTTTCAGAAAGGATTTGAGATGTCTGGTCATTAGGCAAGAATGTTGTGTTGATGATTTCCCCTTCCATCAGAATGATATTCTTGTTTGATACAACCTTTATGCATGCTCTATGCAGTTCAGAGAGAGAGTTCATGTTTACTGGATGATACTTATTTCACAACATTTTTCCCCAGTATTGTTAATTGAATCACAGACTCATCAGGTTAGAGCAAAAGTCCCACTTTCATTTTACTTTTAAGTTACTTTTACAGTTTTGATAGAAAAAAAGACACTAATGGTGAAGTCATTCATTAAAGGTATATTAAATTTGTAGTATACAAAAATGATAAGATGGAGTCCCACCCTCAAGAAACTCTCTTCCTAGTAGAAGAGATAAGACAAGCACTCAGATTACGTGTAGATGCCAGCAAAGTGTTGTAAAGTCATGTCCAGTTGGAGGGATTGGGGAAGACTTAAAGGAGAAGATATGTGCTGTGTTAGGATGGCAGGATAAGATTTTTAGAGCTGAAGAGATAGAGAAGAGAGTAGCATGAGCCAAGAACTGTAGAGGATATCATACACTGACTTATGTTTAGTAGCAGGAGAGAGCCTCTTTCAGTTCCAAGAGTTTAAATATAGTAATTAGAAGCCACTTTTAGTATACACTATTAAGGAAATGACAATTAACATGAACTACCAGTAGAGATTTAGCTTGTTTTATTTACCTAAATCAGCAAGCTTATAAATCTTCCTCCAAATAAAATTATTTAAAAAATAAAATAGAGTAGCAACAACAACGAAATAAAAAAATTTGTATATTATCCAAATTAAAAAATTTGAGGGGACCGGCCCGGTGGTGCAAGCGTTTGGGTGCGCGCGCTCAGCTGCGTCGGCCTGGGGTTCACCGGTTCGGATCCCGGGCGCGCACCGATGCACTGCTTGTTAGGCCATGCTGTGGTGGCGTCCCATGTGAAGTGGAGGAAGATGGGCATGGATGTTAGCCCAGGGCCAGTCTTCCTCAGCAAAAAAAAAAAAAAGTGGAGGATTGGCAGATGTTAGCACAGGGCCGATCTTCACACACACACACCCACACACGCACACACACACAAAAATTGGGGGCTTCAGAGAGCACCATCAAGAAAGTGAAATGACATCCCACACAATAGGAGAAAACTTTTGAAATCATATACCTCATAGGGGACTTGGATTTAGAATATATAAAGAACTGTTACAATTCAGTAAGAGGACAAATAACCAAATTTAAAAATGGGAAAAACATCTGACTAGACATGACTCCAAAGAGGATATGCAAATGACCAATAAACACATGAAAAAACGTTCAGCATCATTAGCCATTAAGGAAATACAGGTCAAACCACAAGATATCAGTCCACACCCAATAGGATGGCTATAATCAAAAAGATAATAACAAATGTTGGTGAGGTTGTGGAGAAACTCTCATACACTACTGTTAGGCATGTAAAATGGTGCAGCCACTTTGGAAAACTGTCTGGCAGTTCCTCAGAAGGTTAAATATAGAGTTACTATATGCCACAGTCATTCCATTCCTAGGTATATACCCAAGAGAAATGAAAACATATGTCTACACAAAAACTTGTATATAAATGTTTATTTATATTATTCATAATAGCCCCAAAGTAGAAACAATCCAAATGTCCTTTATTTATGAATGCATAAACAAAATATGGTATATCCATACAATGGAATATTATTCAGCCATAAAAAGAAATGAAGTACTAATACATGTTACAACATGTGTGAACCCTGAAAGCATTGTGCTAAATGGAAGAAGCCAGTCACATAGGACCACATATTGTGTGATTCTATTTATGTGAAGTGTCCAGAATAGGGGAATCCATAGAGACAGACTGGTAGCTGCCTAGGGCTGGGAGATTTAGGGGGAAGTAGGGAGTGACTGCTAATGGATGCGAGATTTCTTTTTGGGGTGATGAAAATATTCTAACATTGTGATGATGGTTGCACAACTGTAAATAAACTAAAAACCATTGAAATGGGTGAATGTATGGTATGTGAATTATATCTCAATAAAGCTGTTATAAAAAAATAAAATAATGTATCTGAAGTTTGAGAGAGGAAGATAATTTGTCCAAAAACTTACAGAAAGGTAGTAGAACCAATCAAATCTATTTTAGCTTGAGTCTCTTTAAATGTTGTTAAAGAAGCATATTACCATTCAGCTCAAAATATAGTTATAAAAGTTAAACTAAATTTGAGTTTTTTTTAAGGTGGAAATTTTTGAAGCTAGTGTGGATTCTTTTTGCATTTTTTTAGTGGTTAAGATTTGGTGTTCTTACCTCTGAGGCCTGAGTTTGTTTCCTGGTCAGGGAACCACCCCACCCATTTGTTAATTGTTATGCTGTGGTGGCTGCATGATGCTGTGATGCTGAAAGCTATGCCACTGGTATTTCAAATACCATTTGGGTCACCCATGGTGGACACCTGTCAGTGGAACTTCCAGACTAAGAGAGACTAGGTTAGGACCCTGGAAAGTTAGTCCATGGTTTTATAAAATTTGTGTAGACAGTTTTTATCAGAAGGTGATATACTATCTCTGATGCTATATGTAGCTACCAGATCTTCATCTATGATGCTGATTTTTGAGCCTTAACATTGAAAAAACCCTCTGTTTTTAAAGACAGCATCTTGAACAGAGGTGGCAAAAAGTTGACATTTAAAAAATTTGCTTAAAATTTATAAGTTATAGAATACTTAATATGTACAAAAGATTTCCTTGCATGTATATATGGAATAAGGAATAGTAGTAAAACAAACACTCGTGTACCCACCACCTAGGTAGAACAGTAACATCACCAGTGTCTTTGAAGCTCCTGATTTGCCTTCCCCTCAACACAGAAACACTCATTGTCCTGAATTTTGTTTGTCGTTCTCTTACTTCATTTTGCAGTTTCATGACAGCTATATAGCCCAAATAATAGATTATTAAAGGAAAAAAAATCTTCTGGTTCTAATAACCTATTTCTACTTTTCTTCACAGTGGGAATGTAAGACCGATTTAGATATTGCATACAAATTTGGAAAAACTGTGGTGAGCTGTGAAGGCTATGAATCCTCTGAAGACCAGTATGTACTAAGAGGTTCCTGTGGCTTGGAGTATCACTTAGATTACACAGAACTTGGCCTGAAGAAATTGAGAGAATCTGGAAAAAACCATGGCTTTAACTCTTTCTCTAATTATTATAATAAGTTGTACTCCCCAGATTCCTGTGGCATCAGTGGATTGATTACCATCGTGGTGCTACTTGCTATTGCCTTTGGAGTTTATAAGTTGTTCCTTAGTGATGGTCAAGATTCTCCTCCACCATATTCTGAGTATCCTCCATATTCCCATCATTATCAGAGATTCACCAACTCAGCAGGACCCCCTCCCGCAGGCTTTAAGTCTGAGTTCACAGGTATGTTTCCCAAGGCAATGGCAATAAGTAGGGTAGATGGTGAGGTAGTGAATCCTGTGTTGGTTTCTGAAATAGAAAATAGTTACATTGGGAAACCAAAGCAGATTTGTCTTCTGATTTTTTTTTTTTTTTACTTTCAACTTCTTTTACCTCTTCTGTTCTGTTTCTCTATAAAGATAATTGTGATTACTGTTTTAAAGATACATCATTAAACTGTAAATCCTCTTAATCAGAAAAACTTGATCAGATTTAGTAATAAGTATTTACCTTGAACTCTATCTCACACCATAAACAAAAATTTATTAATTAAGTATTAAAGATCTCAACATAAAAGGTAAAACAATTAAGCTTCCAGAAGAAAACATAGGAAAATATGTCATGATCATGGGATAGGCAAAAATTTCTTAGAACACAAAAAGTACCAGCCATAAAAGAAACGATGGATAAATTAGACTTTATTTAAATTAAGAATGTCTAGTCATCAAAAGACAGAGAGTGAAAAGGCAAGCCACTGACTCGGAGAAAATATTTGTAAAACATATTTCCAATAAAGGACGTGTATCTAGAATATATAAAGAACTCCCACAAATCCGAGCAAAGACAGACAACCCAATTTTAAAAGTGGACAGGGGACTTGAACAGCCATTTTATAATAAAAGAAGATATCCAGGTGTCCAATAAAGATATGAAAACGTGTTCAGCATCATTAGTCTTCAGGAAAAGGCAGATTAAAATCACAATGAGGGGGCCGGCCCCATGGCTTAGCGGTTAAGTGCACACACTCCACTACTGGCAGCCCGGGTTCGGATCCAGGGCGCGCACCGACGCACTGCTTATCCGGCCATGCTGAGGCGGCGTCCCACATACAACAACTAGAAGGATGTGCAACTATGACATACAACTATCTGCTGGGGCTTTGGGGAGAAAAAGGGAAAAAAAAGGAGGAGGGTTGGCAATAGATGTTAGCTCAGGGCCAGTCTTCCTCAGCAAAAAAAAAAAAAAAAGGAGGAGGATTGGCATGGATGTTAGCTCAGGGCTGATCTTCCTCACAAAAAAAAGAAATCACACTGAGTTCATTATTAACCACCATGTAACCACCATAATGGCTAATATTAAAAAGACAGAGTACCAAGTAATGGCAAGGATGTACTTAACTGGAACTTGCTGGTAGGAGTTAAAATACTTGGAAATAATAATAAAATAATAAAAAAAATAATAATTAAAATAATAAAATCCTTGGAAAACTGTCAATATCTACTAACACTAAACATTCACCTATCCCAAGACCCAGCAATTCCATTCCTAAATATGTACCTCAGAGAAGTGCATGCATGTATGTACAAAAAGACATGCACAAGAATGTTCTTAGTCATTTTAGTCACAACAGCCCAAAACTGGAAATACAATGTCCATAAACATTAGAAAGAGACTAATCGTGATTGTTTTCACACAATGGAATACTATACATCAGTTTAAGAAAACAAAAACTGATATGTGCAGTGGTAGGGGTTGATTCTTATAGACATAATGATGTACCAGACATAAAAAAGTACCTACTCTATGATTCTATTTATAAAAAGTTCAGGAATGGGTAAAACTAAAGTATGGTGGAGTCAGAATAATGCTTATCTCTGATGTGGGTGAGTATCTGTTGGGAATTGTCATGAGGTAGCCTTCTGGGATGCTAGAAACATTTTATTGGTGTGGGTAGTGGTTACATGCATGGGTACATATGTCCAAATTTATTATGTACAAATGAGATTAGCATACTTTCCATGATGTATATTGTATATTTAAAAAAAAACTTCCTCTGAGCAGAAGATACTTTTTGGTCCCTTTAAGACCTGACTTCCCAACTGATACAAATACCTGGCTGCCTCCACTTGGGTTCCTCCATTAGACACTCATGTACAGCTGTCACCTGGAGCTTTTAGAGATGTTCACAATGCAGAAAAGAAGTAACTCTGACAAGTAGGCTCATCTTCTAGAAGCTGATCTTGAGCAGGGCAAATGTGACCTTATGGGAAGAAACCATCCTCCCCTGTCCTAAAATATATCCCTCCTTTTCCATGTCTGTGGGAAAGGCACTCCTTAGTTATAAACCAGTATTTAATGAATACAGTTTTTGAATACAACTTGTTTATAAGTTGAGGCTTGAGTATTATTAATAAGTAGTAGAGGTGAAATAATTGAAATGTCATGTTGTCTTTGGTTTTATAGGCTATGTTTTGTTTAAGTGAGGATATGTAATAAACCATTTTTATTTCTAGGACCGCATGGGGCAGCTTCTGGTTTTGGCAGTGCTTTCACGGGGCAACAAGGATATGGAAGTTCAGGACCAGGGTTCTGGACTGGCTTGGGGACTGGAGGAATATTAGGATATTTGTTTGGCAGCAATAGGTAGGCTTTGCATTTATCTCACTTGCTCTTTAATTCAACTTTTCATTACGGGCTTCTTTGTTTTGCTTACAGTTTGACTGGATTTGGCTTTGTTAAGGAAAATAAATTATGATGACATTACCTCGTTAAGTTAGGTTCTCCGGGGATGAGGAAAGTACACTATATGTGCTTTGATCAATATTATATATGTTATTTTCTTTCGTATGTCATCGTTATAGATATGAGATTGGAAAAATACTGTTGACTTGACATCAAAGTCAAAGGCAAGAAGGCAGGAAAGAACATGACATTTGGGGAACAGTTAGTCTGGTTTGGAAGGAGAGTGATAGAAGCAAGGCTGGAAAGAGCTTGGGACCAGATTTTGTAATGTCTTCAGTATCAATGGTAGTTTAATAAACTTAAAATCTAAAGGATTTTGAGTGTGAATTCAGAAAGAAAGAGCCTTTATTCCCTGTCATTTTCTTCCCTCACAGCAGTGCCCATAGCAATGGCAGAAATATAAAACAGTTTTTCATGTTAATTCTAATATACCAGAACATTGAGGAAAAAATACTTGATAAAGATTTTTTTCTGATTGTTTAGGAATAGGAAGGTATTTAAAAATCATAGTCACAGGAAGGCCTAACGCACTGATATGTCTTGATAGAGCAACAACACCCTTCTCAGACTCGTGGTACTACCCATCCCATCCTCCCTCATCCTCCAGCACGTGGAATAGCCGTGCTTACTCGCCACTTCGCGGAGGCTCAGAGGGCTATTCAGCATATTCAAGCTCAGAGACAAGAACCAGAACAGCATCAGGTAAGAGCAACACTGTGGCAGTTCCTATTACATAGCAGTAAGTACAGAAATGGTTTGGGAACTTGAGATGATTAACTATGTATTTAACAGTCATGGTTTTACTTGGTATACCCACCAGAAATATTAATTGCATAATTAACTGATATTATAATATAATTCAGATTTATTCTTTCCTCTCACTTCTATTCTTTAAAAATTAGACAAAGATTTGATTTAGACTCACGTCTACCACTAACCAAGGTTTTAACTGAAACCTTCCTGGACGTTGGTTTCCACATGTGATCTCTAGGGATCCTTTAAGCTCTAAAACAGAATTTTCTAGGTAGAAGTTTGAACTTTTTAAATTCAGTAAAACTCAATAAAAAGTATATTGAGCCATACTTTAAATAATTGTCAAAAATATGATTGTAATGTTTATTGCTATTTGTTATAAGAAAATTTTGTAAAAAGAAAAGATATAAAAAACAAATGGCTATTTGGAGTTAAACATACAGCTAATTAGCAGAGAGCGGGAGGTGGTGGCTGATGAGCAGTAATAGATTGCTGTGGATTAGATTTGTCGTCTTCAGCAGGCGGAAGTTATAGAAGAATGATTTATTCTTGAAATTGATAGAAAAATATATTAAAGTAGGTTTTGAAATTTAAGAGTGGAATTCTCATAGTGCTGGTGTGAATATAAATTGATACAATCACTTTGAAAAACTGTTTGGCATTACCTACTGAAATTGAATGCAAGCATACTCCAGCCCTAGCAGTGTCACTCTCAGGCATATAGCAACAGAAATGCATACACGTGCACACTGAAAGATGAGTACAAGAATGCTCATAGCATCCTTATTCATAATAGCCTCCAACTGTAGAAACCCACATATCTGTCAGCAGTAAAATGGGTGAATAAATTGAGTTCTGTTCCTACAGTGGAATACTGTGCAACAGTGAGAATGAATCAACAGTTGTATGCAGTAATGTGGGTAGATCTGTCAAATGTAAAGAAAGAAGCCAGACACAAAAGAATATATACAATATGATTCCAACATTCATATTTTATAAATATACGTGTTTGAAAACAAGCAAAACTAACCTATGGTGTTACATGTTAAGAAAGGGATTACTTTTGGGGAGCAAAAGGGAGGTAGTGGTTGGGAGGATATAGAAAAATATAACTACATAGGACTCAACATGACTAAAGAAAACTCATTCTTAGTGAAAACAAAAATTATAAAAAAACGCCATAAGTATCAACTAGGACTTATATGAAGAAAATCATAAAATGTTACCAAATAACCTAAAGAAAAACCTGAAAAAAATTGACTTTCCAGATGGGAAGACTTGTCATCTTGTAACGTGTCAGCATGTGTGTGTGTGCGTGTCTGCGTGTACACGCATCTGTGTGTTTCTGTGTATGTGTGTGTAGTAACTAAGTAACGTTTACCATTGAAAGACCGTAACCCTCCCCACATTACTTCTCTTCACTGCTGGAGTTGTGAGAGGTAGCAGGGCGTGGCTTAGGCTCCATTGGCGTTGTTGCTTTTTGGCTTAGGCCTTGAGTATTGCCTGTGCCACGTTGGCCCGGCCATAGAACACATCTTTGGTTTCCTGACTAAAAGTTATTTGCAGCAAGTGTGTGTGAGTGTAGTGGACTTGATGACGATTAGATGATTCGGAGGGCTGTTGTGGGGAGGTGATGCACTGTGTCCTGCAGAGCCCTGGTCCACCTGGTGGCTCATTTTCTCTTTTCCTCATGTGTCTCTTACTCATTTGCTAACCATAAACATGTATTACTGTTGTAATTTTATAAGCAATTCTAATGCATTTAAAAAAACTAATATAAGTTTTACTTTTCTCGTTCTAGGATATGGTGGTACCAGAAGACGATAAGAAAGTGAAAAGTTGAAGTCACACATTGGATGCAAAATTTCTGATTTTTCATCACTTTCTCTTAAAAAAAAGTGCTACCTGCTAACAACTGGGGAAAGGGCATATTCAAAAGTTCTGTGGTGTTTTGTCCTGTATAGCTTTTTGTATTCTGTTATTTGAGGCTGAGAGTTGATATTTGACAAAATGCTTATGTAGAGAATTGTATGTTAGTGTAACATGCAGATGTATATTATAGTTTTTGAAAGTGTGGAATGCTGAAAATGTATTGTTTGATTTCTAAAACCTGTGATGCCATAAGAAGCGTTAAGAATGAAGGCTTTATACCAATAGGAACTGAGTACAGAACATTTTCATCTTAGATGGTTTTAGTTGAGTCATTACCTCATAGAAACAATAATAATCTATTTGTTCTTTATTACTTGGTGTTTGCTGTCTTCAAACATTTAAACCGAGCTTTGGACTACTAATTATACTAATGTCTGGGTTTTGATCACTTTTGAGCTCAGGAGCTTTGAGTCCTTCAGTGGGTGGTGGGGTTCTAGTAAGTGAGAATTACCTTTGTTAGGAAAAGGTAGAAAGTCAGTATCTGGAAGATTGTTGTGAATGATTGTGTGCTGACAAAAATGCTTGAAACCTCCATATTTATTTCTCAAGAGGTGAAGTTTGAATGCTTCAACAAAGGTTTTTTAACAGCAAAAGCATGCAGTTCTCTGTGGAATCTCAAATATTGTTGTAGCAGTCTGTTTCAATCTTACATTAAAATGACAGAAAAAATAAAAACAAACGGGTTTTATTCTTGTTCTTTCTAACAGTCCTGACGCTAATTGGTGTTACTTTTTTACCCTTTTTCCCAATGGAAAAGGGGTTCATAAAATTCTGTCTCCCTCAACAATAATTTCGCGTGGTAGTCTTGCCTTAGCTACCAGTCATTTGGTAAATATTTTCAAAAACGTAATTTAGAAATGGTATAGAAGAAGGCCTCTGCTAAAAAATTGCTTTTTAAAAAAAAAAAAATTAAATCTCCAAACCCCTGACCCGTCAAAGATGGCACAGTCTCTCTTAGTTAAGCTCTGTGACCTGAGAGTCTCATTTTTACCTTTTAGAAACCATTTGAAAACAAACAGACCCTTGTTTAGACTTTAAAATGTGAGTTAGGGAGTAGTTGAAAGGGTATTGTGTATAGATCTATCCTTTCTTTATCAGTAAAACTTGGTAGAAATTTTAATTTATGTTACAGAGGAAACAATTTTTTTTCAGGAATGTTGCACTAAATCCTTACCCCATTTTCCTTAGTAGAAGGAGATGGAATGAAAGATAATGCAGTTTATTTATTGTCTTTTTCCCCATTTGCCTATTGTTTTGGGTTTTATTTTATTTTATTTTTTTTTTGCTACAGGCGTTGATAATCTTGCATTGAGTGTGTTTTACTTGGAGAGAAAAGTAAAAAAAATGAATTGAAAACTGCTGTAGATTGGGCCAGTGATAGTGATCTGCATATTAAATTTGCTGTTCTTACAATGCTTTGTTCAGATTTCTATTTTTTGAGCACGTTATTACAGGTCATTGGAATCTTAAAATAATGAGTGAATGTAGCATTGACTAAATTGCTGGCTTTCAGATTGCTCTCAGGAGCCCTAGGGGTGTTCTTTGAAGCTCTTTCAGAGGCTGCCTGGAAGGAAGCCAGGGAAAGAAGCTGAGGCTGTAGGGCTCAAGATCCTCCCCCCACCCCCACTAGAGTGTTCCTCTTTTTTTTTTTTTTTGAGGGAAATTTTAAGAGATTTATTGTAATTTTTTTATTGATGTTTTAATGGTTTTTAACATTGTGAAATTTTGGGTTGTACATTTTTGTTTGTCCATCACCACATATATGTCTCCCTTCACCCCTTGTGCCCACCCCCCACCCCCCACCCCCACTGCCCCTGGTAACCACAGTACAGTTTTCTCTGTCCATGTGTTGGTTTATATTCCACATATGAGTGAGATCATACAGTGTTTGTCTTTCTAGCTTATTTCACTTAACATAATACGCTCTAGGCCCATCCATGTTGTTGCAAATGGGACGATTTTGTCTTTTTTTATGGCTGAGTAGTATTCCATTGTATATATATACCACATCTTCTTAATCCAGTCGTCAGTCGAGGGACACTTAGGTTGCTTCCACTTTTTGGCTATGGTGAATAATGCTGCAATGAACATAGGGGTGCATAAGCCTCTTTGGATTGTTGATTTCAGGTTTGTTGGATAGATTGCCAGTAGTGGGATGGCTGAGTCATAGGACATCTCTATTTTTAATTCTTTGAGGAATCTCCATACCGTTTTCCATAGAGGCTGCACCAGTTTGCATTCCTACCAGCAGTGTATGAGGGTTCCTGTTTCTCCATATCCTCTCCAACACTGGTTGTTTTTTGTCTTAGTGATTATAGCCATTCTAATGGGCATGAGGTGATATCTTAGTGTTGTTTTGATTTGCATTTCCCTGATGATTAGTGATGTTGAACATCTTTTCATGTGCCTATTGACCATCTGTATATCTTCTTTGGAGAAGTGTCTGTTCATTTCCTGTGTCCATTTTTTGATGGGGTTGTTTGTTTTTTTGTTGTTCAGTTGTGTGAGTTCTTTATATATTATGGAGATCAACCCCTTGTCAGATGTATGTTTTGCCAATATTCTCTCCCAGCTGGTGGGTTGTCTGTTCATCTTGATTCTGGTTTCGTTTGTCTTATAGAAGCTCTTTAATCTGATAAAGTCCCACTTGTTTATTTTTTCTTTAGTTTCCCTAGTCTGGGTAGGCATGTCATCCGAAAAGATTCCTTTATAAGCAATGTCAAACAGTGTGTTGCCTATATTTTCTTCTATGAGTTTTGTAGTTTCAGGTCTCACCTTCAGGTCTTTGATCCATTTTGAGTCAATTTTTGTGAATGGCGATAGCAGATGGTCCACTTTCATTCTTTTGCATGTGGCTGTCCAGTTTTCCCAACACCATTTATTGAAGAGACTTTCCTTTCTCCGTTGTATGTTCTTAGCACCTTTGTGGAAAATTAGCTGTCCGTATATGTGTGGTTTTATTTCTGGGCTTTCAGTTCTGTTCCATTGATCTGTGTGTCTGTTTTTGTACCAGTACCATGCTGTTTTGATTACTATTGCTTTGTAGTATGTTTTGAAGTCAGGGATTGTGATGCCTCCTGCTTTGTTCTTTTTTCTTAGGATTGCTTTAGCTATTCGGGGTCTTTTGTTGCCCCATATAAATTTTAGTATTCTTTTTTCTATTTCTGTGAAGAATGTCATTGGGATTCTGATTGGGATTGCATTGAATCTGTAGATTGCTTTAGGTAATATAGACATTTTAACTATGTTTATTCTTCCAATCCACGTGCATGGGATATCTTTCCATTTCTTTATGTCATCATGGATTTCTTTCAATAATGTCTTGTAGTTCTCATTGTATAGGTCCTTCACCTCCTTGGTAAGATTTATTCCTAGGTATTTTATTCTTTTTGATGCAATTGTAAATGGTATTATCTTTTTGAGCTCTCTTTCTGTTAGTTCATTATTAGCATATAGAAATGCAACTGATTTTTGTAGATTGATTTTGTACCCTGCAATAGAGTGTTCCTCTTTTATCAGTTGTATGTTTACATTTCCTTGTTATTTCCAAGGTATCACTTCCAAAGTCTAAGACTCAGAGAATAAAAGACAGTACAACTGGGTCCCCTTGTGCAGTTGATGGCCCGTGATAGGAGTTGGTGCCCCGGGAGAGTGGGTACTTCGTTTGGGAGCTTGGTGTGCCTGGTTGAGAGGGCATAAAAAGGAGAAAGAAGAGAAATGAAAGGGAGCTAAAGATAAGCTTTACAGTTTTACTCACGTGAGGGTTCAGCAGAACTTTTTGGATGGCTGGTATTTTAATCAGTTAGGCGTGTTTCTATAATTTTGTGGATGCTTCCCTCTGAAGCTCCTTGATCTCTTCCATTCTGACTCCTATCCTCCAAGACTGGCTTAAGTTTATCTGTTGTTCTTCCGTTAACACATTGAACACACTTTTACGGTTGTCCTTAGTACATTGCATTGTAATTATCTTTTACGTGTAGGTCTTTCTTACTACTCTGAGCTCCTTAGGGAAAAGGGTCAAATATGACTTCTTTCTGCCCCTTTCAACTAGTGCATGATCATGTGACTAAATTCTGTCAATCAAATGCTTCCTCCAGGTCTTTGGATGCAGTGGCATGGAGACCGCAAGACAGTTAAGAGATTATTCCCAGCAGTGATAGAGTAGGCAAAGATTTAGCAGAGGTGTTGGTGAGTGTCTGGTGGTAGTTCCTAGGGAAACGTTTTGACTGTATGGTTGCTGTGGTGTGTCTTGGCTGGGTGTGTGCTGCCTGGATGCCCGTGGCTGAAAACCTGCCTCTTCCTAAGCCTGGTTTTCCATACTTCCCATCAATTCTGTGAGCTATTTGATACATATATTGGTGAATTCCTTTTCTGCCTGATTTAGTAGAGTCATTTTCTGTTGTTTGCTACTAAGAATTTCATATGCATGGTGAAACTCCTAAGATTCTTTAATAGCAAGCAACAGATACTGACTGTTTAAACAGATAACGTTTAAGTGTAATAAAACATTATGGTTGACTCCCAGTATCTGTTCCTCCCTATTGATTTGGTCTCTAAACCAGTGGTTCTCAAACTTGAAGGAGCACCAGAATCACTGGAGGGCTTTGAATACAGATTGCTTGGCACTACCCCAGAGTTTCTGGTTTAGTAGGTGTAATGGTCAGTTTTTATGTGTCAACTTTGCTAGGTTATAGACCTGTTATTCAGTCAAACACTGCTCTAGGTGTTGCTGTAAAGATGTTTTGTACAATCAGTTGACTTTAAGTAAAGGTGGTGATCCTTGATGAGCCAGGTGGGCCTGATGCAATCAGTTGAACTGGCCTTGGGAGCAGAACTAAGATTTCCCAGAAGAAGAAATTTTGCCTGTGGATGGCAGCTTCAGCTCAAGAGTTAGCACCTGCCCTTCCTGATGGATTTTGGACTTGCTTAGCTAGCCTCCACAATCGTGTAAGCCAGTTCCTTCCAATAAATCATGTAAGCAGTTCCTCCAAATATATTTGCTACTGGTTCAGTTTCTCTGGTTGACCCCTGAGTGATACCAGGGTACCACTTCTTGGTACCAGAAGTGATTTCAGAGAAACAGAGTCTTAAGGGTGAGTGTTTTGAATTGGTTCTGGATTTTCTGTAATATATTCTCTAATCTGATTAAATTGAGAGGCACTATTGACTTGATTTCCAGTGGTGAAGGGGATGCTGGTAGTCCGTAGGGGAATGTGGCGATGGAGATCCACAAAGTAATCACAGTCGGACACTCCTAGTCAAACACCTATAAAAGGCAAGATTCTGGATAACGATGTACAGTCATGTGCTGCATAATGACACTTCAGTCAAGGACTGCATATACAATGGTGGTCTCGTAAAATTAGTGCCATGTAGCCTAGGTGTGTGGTAGCTATACCATCTAGGTTTGTGTAAGTACACACTATGATGTTTGCACAATGACGAAATCATCTAACAACGTATTTCTCGGAATGTATCCCTGTTGTTAGGTGACATGTGACTGTATTTGATACCTTATAACATTTTAGTCAAACAAGGAGTGGAATGGGACCGGCTGGTTGCTCCTAATTGGGCTGGGCAAAGTGGAGAAAGAAAAGGATGAGCTCAGGGCTTTGAATTCCCAACTGAAGCTTCACATAAATGGCCTGAAATCTTTTTATATCTTCCCAATAAAT